CCCCAAAACCCCAAAACCCCAAAACCCCAAAACCCCTTTTCTTGAATTAGAAATAAGTTAAGCAATTATAATAATTGTCAGAATTAATTTATTTTCATTACTTATACACCTATAACCTTTAAATGTCTACTGTAACTGAGATAGAACTTATCAAGTCCTATGTCCATGACTACTTTGACAGTCTTGATGAAAGGATAAAAAATTACTTCGATGAAAGTAGTGTAAATAATAAATAAAAATAGCAACAAAATTTGGGGGCATCGACTGGAATGTAATCTGCAAAGTAAGGACAGAATAATTAACTTATGCGAGATTATTTTCAAGGGATTTTCAAGGTATGGGGTGCATTCACTAAATCACTCAAATCAGTTATTTTGCAGAATAATGAAGACATTATCATTAATACAATTCACTTTGGAAAATTTTACATCCTTAAGACTAATTAGGAGTCACAGACTAGAGATATAGTTTATCAACCAAGTATAAATTTACAGAATAGTTGTAAAAGCACCCTAAAGGACAAAGGAACCTTGCAATACGGGGAGACTTTTGATGGGAAACTCTTTATGAGAGATAAGATTCAATTCAATGAAATCAAGTTGAATTATGTAGTCATAGCAAAGGCCTGTGATCAGTCTTTGAATCATGTTGAAAAAGCTGTTCAAGATCTTTAGTCTCAACTAATAACAATGCTGTCAAGCGATAAAACTCAGCAGTTCAGAATCAACTTCAAAATAGGATAGCTAATTATAAATTCTAACAAAATTATGAACTTTATCCCAGAGAGTTATTAAATTTTAAAAAGAGTGAGAGGCTAGAACAAATCTTAGATTGTTTATGATGCTTATACCAATTTAGACGATAAACATCTTATGGACAGCGATAAAAATTCTAGGAAAAACTACAATTCTAGCACTAAATAGTTATAGCTGGAGAATAATTTCAACAAGACGTCTAGATATAGTGTAAATTCTGAAACTCTGAGCTAGTTATTGTAAAAAACAAGTAAGAGGGGGTTGAACAAATCGTAACTTATAACCCAGCCAGATAATATGAATAAATCTTGTTATGGGTCTCACTACTTTAATACCCCATTGATCAATTCTCTAAACAAGCAAGTCAGTAATGAATTGAAATTGAGAAAGTCAACATATAATTTGAATAGTGCTTTGAGTGGAAATAAGCCATACTAAGACGAATAATTTCTGCCTAATTTAAATGAGGGTAATGCAATGAGATCACAATCATAGCTTTAAGGAGATTCTGTTGAAGCTTATGGTAAGATTCCTGTAATCTAAGCCTAGTTTATCAAAGACAACTAATAAAGCAATGTTTCAAATCAAGAGCTATAACTTAATATTAGCAAAAATACTTCTCATTTGCATAAGCACACAGCTAGTTAAGGGAAAATTCAAAGTTTGCTTTCAAAATTTGACCCTGATACTAATAGAAGATATCAAACTCCATCAAGAGATTTTGATTATCATTACCAAAATGATTCCTATAAAAATCACGACAGAAGCCAAAATAGCCCAGATGACTCGAAACGTTCTAACTCTATGTACAAATCTTCTTCTACTTCTTTCACACATGCTTACAGTTCAAATCATCATAAGAATTAGATTCTGAAGATGAGTTAAAATACTGAGAGTGTCTATTAGCAGGCAATGGATAGATACATAAGTAATGTAACTACTAAAGAATAGGAAAGCAAAAGTGACATTGAAAACATGAGAAAGAGCTAAATGGAACACAGAAGACATCAAGATTATCTTCTCCAAAGAAAGAGGTAGTAACAAGAAAGCACACTCAAATTCCTAATGGAATAAGCAAGATAAAAGGTAACAACTACTTATAATTAACAAGCATAATTTATAGAAAGAGAAAGATCAGTTCTAGAAGAAAATCATATAGTAAGCAACTGCACAGGAAACACATTTCGGGCCTTAAGAAGATGAGGATTATGTCATTAAAATGAAAAAATAGCTTCATGATTTACAATCAAAGTATCGAGAGGGCCTTATCTCTTAACTTGGCCATATACGATAGTCTTAGACATATAAGAAAGAATAACAGAAAGAGGTCGATATTTAATTAGTTAACGAGAACATACAAAAACAGAATGAAATCAAGGAATAGATAATGTAGAGAAAACTTGATAGCAAACGACTTTGTAAAGAAGTGTGGGATGAGCAAGTTCAACTAAAATTAAAGCATAAATCTTTAAAGGGATACCTATTTTGAACTGCAATAGATTTAAGTATTGAAATAAAATGTCTAGTTATCATATAAAATCAGACAATTATATATTTGCTTAAGAATCAATAACACTTAGTTAATGAAGTTAATAAAATGGTGGGGTTTTGGGGTTTTGGGGTTTTGGGG